TAAAAGATTACTTCAAGAACAACAGCAGTCGAAAGAAATAGAAGAAAAATCTGAAGATAAAGTTCAAGACAAGGTAAAGTCTGAAACAGATGAGGATACAAAAGATACCATCACAGGAATAGATGATGAAAGTCAAGGAGATACAACGGAATCAAAGGTATTTATGATCAAACTTTATTTATATAATTATTAAAATATACTGGTTTATAAATATGTTTCTGTATGTAGTATCCTTGGCAGACAGGAAAACTCGGATTTTCATGGTCTAAATATCTTGAACATTGTAAAGCAAAAGCTGCACCTGTTAAATTATTCAAAGATCCTTTTCCATATACTAAAAATCATTTTAAAGTTGGAATGAAATTAGAAGGAATAGATCCTGAACATCCATCACGATATTGTGTTCTTACAGTTGTTGAAGTAGTAGGTAAGTTCGTTTTAATTTTTTTTTTTTTATATTTGCTATATAAAAACAAATTTAACATATTTAAACTATATATTTGATATTTTCAGGTTATCGAATACGTTTACATTTCGATGGATATTTAGAAAATTATGATTTTTGGGTAAATGCAGACAGTATGGATATTTTTCCTATTGGTTGGTCAGAAAAAAATGGACATCGATTAGACCCTCCAAAAGGTTATGTAGCTAGTAATTTTAATTGGAACGCATATTTAAAAATTTGCAAAGCTACTGCAGCACCAAAAAATATATTTTCAAATAAAAGTGTAAGTGTTAATTTTGAACGATAATTTTTAATCAAGGGATACATTTTAAATTTTTATAAATTTAATCAATATATTTTATTATTATAGTCTGTCTGTCCAACTGGTTTCCGTGTAGGAATGAAATTGGAAGCAGTGGATAGAAAGCATTCATCATTGGTTTGCGTAGCTAGTATAGCAGGCCTAATGGATTCTCGCATATTAGTTCATTTTGATTCTTGGGATGAAGTATATGATTATTGGGCAGATGCAAGTTCTCCATATATTCATCCAGTGGGATGGTGTCATCATAATGGTCATAGTTTAACGCCACCAAATAGTAGGTGAAAATATATATTTGTTTTTATATCTATTTTATAATTTTTTTCAGAAAGAATGATAGATACAAAATATGAATTTATTGATTTAGATTATAAAGACCCTAAATCTTTTACGTGGGACGCATATCTTAGAGAAACTCGTTCTATGGTCGCACCTGCGCGAGCTTTTAAACAACGACCACCTTGCGGATTTAAACGTGGAATGAAATTAGAAGCAGTTGATAAACGTGTACCCCAACTTATAAGAGTAGCAACAGTTGAAGACGTAAAAGATCATATGTATGTAAATAAATATTTGTTTTTATCAAAATTAATTGATTATTTGATAGTTGACTGTTAATTTGGAACGTAAAAAATTATATTTATATTATACAGGTTAAAAATACGATTTGATGGATGGCCAGAAAATCATGCCTACTGGGTTGATGATGATTCACCTGACATACATCCCATGGGTTGGTGTATGAAAACGGGTCATCCTTTGGAACCACCATTAAGTAAGAATTTTTTAAATAATTTTGTCACATTTGTATATTTGTATATTTTATTGTTTTTTTATATTTTTTTATATTTTGTTATTTTTAATATTTTTAATTTTGAACATATATTGTATCTTTACATCTTTTTTAGAGTCTGTGTTTTAACATAATATTAATATATGTTATTCTTTATAGCTCCGGATAATTTAAATGATAGACCAGAGTGTGGAACATATGGTTGTAAAGGAATAGGTCATGTGAAGGGACCTAAATATGCAACACATAATTCTGCATCAGGATGCCCATATTCACCTCAAAATCTTCACAAAGTTAGACAATTAGCTGACAGGCTTAATTTAAAGCATGAAACTTGCGATTTTGAAGATGATTTACAGGATAGATCTAAAACAGAAAAGGCTGATAAAATAAAAATGGAAAAATCTGAGAAACTAGAGAAGCCATTATTTTCGGAAGAAAGATTAATGAAAACTGAGAAAGATATTAAACAAGAAGATGGAGATTTTTCTGATAAAAATGACAAGTCTGAAAATTCAGAAAAGTAAATTATATTAATATTTTCAATTATATTCCTATTAATTAAATTAATTATATAAAATTAATTATATAAAATAATTAATTTTAATATTATATTCTAAATTATTCATTATTAGGTCTAGTAAGTCAAAACATCATCATAGCGAT